CTTAATTGTCTACACGTAGGTGTTGGTAGAGTTCAATTGATTTCTTCTTCTGTATAATTTTTTTTTAAATCAATAGTAATTTATTGGTATACAAGTTGTTTATAAAAGTCTTGTGATAGAATTTATGAAACAAATATGAGTGATACGATTCTAGATACGGTATTTACTACGCCCCCCACCACCACCACTTAGACGAGATGTGACACAAGGTCTATTTTTAGGTGGGGACTCGAACGCGTACGCCCGAGACAGGAACAAAAATCACCCTCAGCACCTGCAACCGTCGTTTGCGCTGGCCTCTGTGCGAGCACCGATCCCTCCCTCTGGTGCAATGGGAGGGCGCGGCTTCGGGCAGCAGTTCCCCAGGGCTGGGTATCTCTTCAGTATTCTTTTCTTCAATTGCCTCTCTGTCCTTTGACAGAATATACCATGAACGCACTCTGTCGAAAGACAGAGACGCAACTGAGAGATAAGTAGGCGTGAAATTACTCAAAAAGAGTAAGGTATACACACGATTCTAGATACAGTGCAATGGAATTGCCAGAAACATACAGTGAAGGAAATGGATGCCAATATTTCTGTTGGAAAATCAGAACGAGAACGAATAAAGAGAAATTGTAACATTTCGAAGTGTCTATAGATTGAGTGAGGTTGAGTCACAAGTAATTCCCATTTTGGGGGAAGCAATTTTAATGCCGAATCTAACTATTATTCATACGTAACAGTTATGAATAAATTTGGATTATATTGACATGTCTTTTTTGCTTACCTATGGCAGCGTACACAGTGGATTAAAGAAAAATGTTGTTCTCCTCTATGACAACGCAAGGCCGCCTATAACAAGAATAATACAGGCAAAAACATTTGGAACTCGGTTAGTCTGTTCTACTTCAACCGCCATATTTACCTGACATTACGCAAACTGATTATTACATTTTCATCGATCAATGCAAAATGCTTTAATAGGAAAACATTCCCTAATATAAATCAGATTTAAGAGTTCGTTGAAAACTTTTTAGATCTGTCTGTCTAATCCTTTTTCAGACTTGTCTGTCTGTCTAATCCTTTTTTCAGACTTGTCTGTCTGTCTGCCTAATCCTTTTTCAGACTTGTCTGTCAGTCTGTCTAATCCTTTTTTCAGACTTGTCTGTCAGTCTGTCTAATCCTTTTTTCAGTCTTGTCTGTCAGTCTGTCTAATCCTTTTTTCAGTCTTGTCTGTCTAATCCTTTTTTCAGACTTGTCTGTCTAATCCTTTTTTCAGACTTGTCTGTCTGTCTAATCCTTTTTTCAGACTTGTCTGTCAGTCTGTCTAATCCTTTTTCAGACTTGTCTGTCAGTCTGTCTAATCCTTTTTCAGACTTGTCTGTCAGTCTGTCTAATCCTTTTTTCAGTCTTGTCTGTCAGTCTGTCTAATCCTTTTTTCAGACTTGTCTGTCAGTCTGTCTAATCCTTTTTTCAGACTTGTCTGTCTAATCCTTTTTTCAGACTTGTCTGTCTGTCTCCCTTTTTCAGATTTGTCTGTCTGCCTGTCTGTCTAATCCTTTTCAGACTTGTCTAAGTGTATTGCCTATGCTTAACTGGGTCTGGTACAGTAATACAATTTTGGGGCACCCAATAAAAAAACTCTCTCACAACGGTAACGATAAAGTGAGACCTTCTAACAGAATTTCCAGTATAAAGGATTTATATGCACACTATAGCTATATTAGTGACTGCAACAGAAAACTGAATGACATTCGCGACTATAACAGCGGAAACTTTGAGATTATAACAACCAAAGACGAGGACACTTGTCCGAATAGATCAATGTAAGATTAGCTTGTTAATCACTACACCGCAATGTAGTGTTCAAGTATGTCTGTCTGTTCATTTAGTTATTGAATCAAATAATGACCTATTTAGATAAACATCGTGAATCAATTATTGAAGACACCGTGTACCGGAAAACCAAATACTGGTCGCAGAAACGTGCCAAAAGGAATCAGAAAGAATACAATGAGTATTAACAGGGTGAGGGGTGGGGGTGGAATGATAGTGATATGCTGACTTAGGCATTCCTCCAGCTTTTCCGTTGCTTCTTGACGCAAAAGGAAGATGACCCGATCTTGTATTCTCTCTGTAGTCAGTGTAAAGAACTTGCACGATTAAATTTTGACGTTATGTAGATTAAGAGAACAACACATTTTCTTTATTATATTTTTTTAAATGTTCATTCAAAGGATGCAGTGACAATTTGAAAATTCTTAAAGCAAACGTCGCTAACAGTTGCGACATCTATATTGCTTTAGTATTTTCTGTTACTTACTGACTTGTTTATTTAATAGGCTGAGAGAAAGTATGAAAACATTCCGCCTTGATATCTATCTAATAGTAGGAAAAGAAAATATCCGACAAGAAAAAGGTGAGAAAAAATTTATGAGAAAAGAACTTTATCAGCACATCGGCTTGCTTTACAGGATTCACAAAAAGCCAAGAAATAATGAAAAATTTAGATTTAGCATGTGCACTATAAACAAAAATCCATGTATTGTTGAATGGTTGAGATAGTCGGGCCTTTATTACAAACAGGTAAGGGAAGAGGAGAAACAACGTCAAAAAGAAACAGAATTTCTCTTTCTCACTCTCTATCACTTTCTCTCTCACACAGATTCGTTTTCACTCTCTCTCTCTCTCTCTCACTCTTTCGTTTTCTCTCTCTCTCTCTCTCTCTCTCACTGTTTCGTCCCCTCTCTCACTGTTTCGTTCTCTCTCTCACCCTGTTTCGTTATCTCTCTCTCTCTCTGTTTCGTTTTTCTCTCTCACTGTTTCGTTCTCTCTCTCTCTCTCTCACTGTTTCGTCCCCTCTCTCACTGTTTCTCTTTCTCTCACTCTCTCACTGTTTCGTTCTCTCACTCTCTCACTGTTTCGTTCTCTCTCTCTCTCTCACTGTTTCGTTCTCTCTCTCTCTGTTTCTGTTCGTTCTCTCTCTCTCTCACTGTTTCGTTTCTCTCTCTCTCTCTGTTTCGTTATCTCTCTCTCTCTCACCCTTTCGTCCTCTCTCTCACCCTTTCGTCCTCTCTCTCTCTCTCTCTCACTGTTTCGTTCTCTTTCTCACTCTGTTTCGTTATCTCTCTATCTCACTGTTACGTTTTTCTCCCTCTCTCACTGTTTCGTCCCCTCTCTCACTGTTTCGTTTTTCTCTCTCTCTCACTGTTTCGTCCCCTCTCTCACTGTTTCTCTCTCTCACTCTGTTTCGTTATATCTCTCTCACCGTTTCGTTCTTTCGTTCTCTCTCTCTCTCTCTCTCTCTCTCTCTTTCTCTCTCTCAATCTTTCCTTCTCTCGATCTTTCGTTCTCTCGATCTTTCGTTCTCTCTCTTGATCTTTCGATCTCTCTCTCTCTCTCTCTCTCTCTCTCTCTCGTGCCTTCGTTCTCTCTCGTTCTTTCGTTCTCTCTCTCTCTCTCTCTCACTCTCTCTCTCTCGTTCTATTAATTTAAAAAAAAAGCCTGGCAGTTCTTTATTAAATATTTTTCAGTAATTTTGTTCCACTTCCGTCGAGGATCCTGATGTTGTCCAAAGTAAAAATTAATAAAATACTTAGTCGTTTTCGTTTGCTTAAATATTGTGTTCGCCAAATAGTTCTATTTATTAATTAAATTTTCTGCTTAATCTAACGAACTTTAAGGCCAAGCTAATATAATTTGTGTGTACGTATATGTACAATGTTATCGAAAAGTGAATTTACTATAAAAAATTTTGTCACATCGAGCAAGCGTTATACAATGAGAATTGAAGATCAACATTAAGATAGATGTGTGTCATGTGTTATTGATCTCCCCTCGTAAATAAATACAGACTTATCTATTATGTTCGTGTGAGCATTTATCTATGAAATTTCTTTGTCGGTTCGTTTTGCATTTGGCGAAAGAAACCTGATTTTAGTAACATGTACGTCGAACAGTTGATTTATTTCGCGTTTAACACGAAAAAGTGTTAGTAAAAAATAAAATAAAAAAGTAAAAATGTGATATTCGAAATTAAGCGACCAAAAACAAAGAGAAAATTTCAAAAAGAAAAAAATGAAAATAAGTATTTAAAAAAGAAAAAACTGCAAAAATAGGAAGGGTGTTTTTGAAGTTTTCTGTTTGTTCAATCAGTTTTCTGCTGAAAATGCGCCTGCAGCAATTCTCATCGTGAATAAATGTGAAAGAGACCTTGGGCGTGCATCTTGTATTTCGATGGAAGGAAAATCTTCCATCTTCGATACAGTTTTTTTTTTTTTTTTTTTTTTTTCTTCAGGGACTAGTGGTTGTTTGAAAGCTGAAGTCGTAAGCCGTAAATCCATGTTCATGACCCGCTATTTCGAGGTATCAATAATCGATTATTTTTAAATATTTTTGTGCATTATTATATCCAAATTTTCTTATTCTCTTTTAGTTTTAATTATAATCTTCTTTGCAGTCTTCTGAACTTCGAAAATACTGAAAAAATAAAAATAAAAAACAACACGACACAAATTGTCAATCATTTGAAATGAAGGTAGCTCAATTTCATTTCTTAATACCGAACGAATTTCTAAAAGGAAGAAAGAACAAATGAAGCAAATATGCAAGGGCTTAGAAGATGTAAAAAGGACGAAACACAGAAAATAAACATCAGATAAAAATGGAATTAGCATCGGAGATGGAGTAACGATTATCGGCACAGAAAATGAAATTGACGTGCCGAATTCACATTCGGGTTTGGTCTGTTGCATTCACATTCATACTTGGAAAATACATGAATCCATCACTTCTGTCCCCAACCAGGGGTTAAACAGCTATTCATAGCCTTCTCAGAAAACCAAGTTCTTTGGACAGTTTGGAAATCAGTAATATATTACTTCAAATGTTATTATATTGGACACTTCTTATTTGAAATAGAAGCCTCATTTTTCTTTATTAAACAGTGTGTTCGATATGTTCGTCGTGCGCATTCGAGAAATCTTGGTAAAGAATATTTTCGGCCGATGGTAATTAAGAATTATTGAGGCTCTTTATATAATACGATTCAAGCTAAGAATCAATCTTTGTTTAACAATAGTTTCAATGTGTTTGTGGTCTTTTAAGAATACACCACAACACAGTCAAACGTCCCATCCTTTCACGCAGGCTAAGATTCTACTACTTCTATGCAATAAACGTTAGAACACGAACGTTATATATATATATATATATATATATATATACATAACAAAATCCAAAATTACCTCATATGGGGTGGGTATAGATCTTTCAACCAATGAGAAGACTAATGTTGGTTGAAATAGACATATACCCGCCCTATAGGAGGTAATTTGGGATTTTGTCGTGTAATTTATATTCTCTGTTATAATAAATACATTGAGCTCTTTTTGTGGATCAGTTTGCATATATGATATTATTAGGATCCATATATATATATATATATATATATATATATATATATATATATAAATTAATTTCAGTTGAGCTCTCTGGGAGGAGATGTGGGTTGGTAAACAGTGACTATTATAGCTATATAGCGAGACTCATCGCTAATGCGAATTGAGTCACTCCCGGTCACTAGGCGTGTTTATAAAGATAAACACGCTAAAAATCCACTTCCCTCATACCGTGCGCCGATGGCGAAACAGTCTATCTGTGGATGACTCTGTGTGTGTATATATATATATATATATATATATATATATGCGCACGTCTGGATCGTTCTCCAGCCCTCATCAGGTGGATATTTGTTTTTGTAATTTTGGGAAGAATCATTCTCAGAGTACGTTACTTTTACTGTTGCAATAAACATGGATTATTCATTCCTTTGTTAAGTGCACAATTTCTTCTTTTTCTGTCTGAAATGTTTGACAATTTAAAAAATTTTCGGATGATTTTTTATTTCTAATTTTTATTTCGCCCATTAATGCCAGTCGATAAAAATAACAACCATCTATTATTTACACTATTTACATTATTCGGACTGTTGTCCTCATCTTTGTCATATTCACGACGTTTCAGCCGTCATACACTCCGGCCTTCTTCACGTGGTTCGAAGCGATCCCTTTTAGTCCACGGGGGTAGATTGTTCTAGTTCCACGTGCCATGTCTTTTCTGGACATCTCAGTTTAAGTTAATTCCCTTTAGTAACTCAACTCTCCATTTTTATTTTATTTTATTTTATTTTATTTTATTTTTTTGTGTGTGGTGGGGGTGTTTACCTCAGCTGCGTTCAGGTATTGAACTCACAACTCTTTGGGACAAATCACTTTTTGGATTACTTCAACAAACGCTCTTATCCTCTGGTCCATCTGCCCTGAAGAAGGCCGGAGCGCACAACGGTCAAAAACTTTCGTGAATATGACAATAAAGATGAGGACAACAGTCTGAACAACGTAAATAGTTACAATATCTCATCTAAGAAACATAGACAAACCTTGCATTAGTTAGACTCAAGGGATAATTACAGATTTCTAACTATAAGAGATAAACGTCCACCGTTATATTTTGGAGACGGTAGACATTTTTAATCGGTGTTAGACCAAGCCACTATGAAGCAAGTTGCTACTGGGTGTGGAAGAATTACAAACAGAAACACAGAATTACGAACTCCACAAAACCAAACTGCGGTTTATACTATGCTGAACGGACCTTAATTACCATTTCTGGGGAAAAGTGGATAATCTTTGAACAGTTGAAGAAGGCTAGTACAAGGCTCAAACTCTCGGTCACAATGACTTGTGACTTTGTGCTAACACAAGTATCGGCGACTTCCAAACAGTTTCATCTATTTAATATCAACAAGTATTGCGTCAACCCGTGGTATGGCTTTCAGACACTTCCCAGCAATGTCACCACTTTGGCAAATGATTTGAACTTATGGTTAGAACGCTAATGTGTAAAATACTTAACTACGTGTATAGTGATTTTCCAAGCGTAGCTTAGATATGGCACAAGGTCGAAAGTAGTGAGCACTCAGCGATGATCGAACTCGCTACTCAGTCGATGCGAGACAAGCTTGCTAACCATTACACCACCTTGTACTGCCCCTAAACCACGTGTATATATGAATAATGTTCTCCATAAATATAGCGAGTCTTAATTACGTGCACTTCCTCCATAAATATGCTATATTGATGGATGGGGGGGAGGTTCAGTTTTAGAGATAAAGCATTTATAGATATAGACAGTGGGGACATACGAATCAATACTGCATGATGACATGACTCCCAATGTGACTCACAATGCAATGTTAATTCCTGTGTTTTCTCTGTCTAATAAACACGATGTTATATTTTTTATGTTGGTGAATGAAACTTCCAAACATTTAACGTTTCAAACAAATGATTTTCATCTATATTATTTACATTATTCGGACTATTGTCCTCATTTTGTTGCCATATTTATCACAACGTTTCGACCGTTGTACGCTTTGGCCTTCTTCAGGTGGCTGGAATGTCGAACTAAATCTAGTTCTAGTTCTAGTTCCACGTGCCATGTCTAATGGATGTCAGTTATCAGTTATCTCCGGTTAATTCACCTCCCCAGGTTTTCCATTGCCTGGTATTGAACTCACAACATATGGTACAGTGGATAACGGCGTTGGTTAGATCGAGTGACAGGACCCAAAAAAGAGTGTGAGTTCAATACCTGGTTGAGGCGGTGGAGAACTTGCAGAGGGGAATTAACAAGAAATAACTGGCATCCATTAGACATGGCACGTGGAACTAGAACAGTCTACCCCAGCGAGCGAAATAAAAGGTTCAATTCGACATTCCAACCACCTGAAGAAGGCCGGAGCGCACAACGGCTGAAACGTTTTGATAAATATGGCAACGAAGATGAGGACAATAGTCCGAATAATGTAAATAGTGTACATAATACCTCATCTCAGAAATATAGACAGATACTGATTTTCATCTGCAGAATATTTTTATTTCATGGGGTTTTGTGTTTCCTATATTCAGTCTTCTTTACGTTTTATCTTACAGCTAAGCCTTTGACCATCCTTCTTTAAACATTCTGATTATGTAGCGCCAGCACTCAAAAAACTAGACAAAATAACTAGAGAACTACCAACAGTGTCAGCGACTAAAAATGATAGTATATGTAACTCGAAGTGAACATAAAATGTTAAAATGGCCCTCTACTTTATATGAAAGAAACGAGCAATAACATCTACTGGACTTGATGAACCTATTCTCTTGAAATAATGTTTTAAGAGAAACATTTTATAAATTTCAACTAAAAACAGTACTGGCTGCTCTATGAAAGAATTCCAAATATTTCCCTGTGGGGAACTGCTAATATTGCCATTACTGTTTGTTATGAATAATCAAGAGTAGTCTCCCCTTGTTTTGTTACTCTCCTCTTTGAGATAGCTATTTCTGTTTACTGGGTTTATAAAAGGACACTTTACGCGAACCACGTATTCTCAGTTGAATAAAGCTTTCTTAAAGCCTACCCGTCCAACAGCAAGGCCTCTGA